ATATATATATATATGTATGTATATATATGTATATATATAGATTAAAAGGCAAAATACTGGAAAACAACAATGCTGTGGGAAACATATTTATATATATATATATGTATGTATGTATGTAAAACAACGATAATAAGAAACATCATATTCAAAGGATAAAAAACACGAAGTACCCAAATTGGCAACTTATTTCCATTGTGTTCCTGTTGTGCCGCAGAATTTGTCCGGCTATAAATATATGGATTTAATATTTTTACGAAGTAGATTAAATTTGTGAGAAATGAAGCGTACATACGGTATATCATTTTCTGGTTCAGATATAGTAGATTATATTTATAAATAAATATTTTGATAATGATATCGATCAGAATATTTTCTTCAACAATATAAATGGTGTATATGTTTACTAATAATTATGACAGTAAATTTTAAAAAGGAAACTTTTTTATAGATTGTAATTATTACAATAAATACAAAAATGGATATGTTTTGAAGTGTAACTTATTATTTGAATGTTTACCAAGCAATTAGAATAGTTGCGTATTATTATACGAAGGTTAGATTATTGCATACAAAATTATCTTGAGGACCCCCACATGAACCGAAAAAAGATGAGAAATTACTACACAGTTGCGGATAGATAATAATATTGGTGAGTTGCAGTGACGACATTACGATTATTGTACTTATTAGATTAGGCACTGTTGCAGTGATATTCAGACGGTTGTTTCAGTAGCAACAAACAGAAACCCGTTTATATTCGTGATTATTTCAATATTACCTCACCAATGAGTCTCATTTTGTTTTTTTGCAGCTTAGATATATCGACCTAATTTTTATTTTACAACATTGCAATTATATTACTCTTAACAATGTGTAGGTAACTGCAAATCACAAATTACTAGGTTAAGTGTCCAATGCAATTATTTTGTAATGCTGCCCTCTCTCGTTCTTCATTCTCATTCTATAAAAAAAAAACAAAAACAAAAAAAAAACAAAACAAAACCAACCAATTTAAAAGCCTTAAAGTGGTCGGGTGCCAGTGGGTAGGGGTCAGAGGGTGGGGGAATTGCCGGACACACCTAGATCCACAAAAGTTCCAAAAATATGAATTTGTCTTTTCAGATAACGATATTTTAATTGCCAATCCCTAATATTGTGATCTAAAAACACTTTTGGGCATACTAAACAAACTCCTTCCCTATGAACCCTACTAAACAGGGGTGGCGCCAGCGAGAGGGCTGGGGGGGGGGGAGACAACTTAAGTATCCATTTACTTCACTATTTCGGACGGTAGGCCTATTTAAAAATGTGTAGTGGAGCCGAGCTGTGGAGCATTTTGGGTCGGAATCGATAATGTATAAAGGAAGTGAGTTAAAAACGTGAGTTAAAACTTGGTATAACATTGTTTTAATTTGCCAATTTTAGGTGTCTTCTACTGAATCGATAATTTCGGCTCTGTTAGAAGAGTGCTGTTCGACTGAGGCCGGGCCCGGGGCTTCGTCCTCCCGAAAGCCCATCCGTTACCCACTACGGGCCCTTGTGTTGGACCCCTGACAGGCTGTACGGGGATTTTCCTTTCACATCTTTCACATTTAAAGTTTTAATTGTAAGTTAATTTATGATATACAAACTAATTAAGCAAAAAAACCGGTACTTAAAATTACGGTAAATATACAGGTTTAGCAATTCAAAATGGATTTTCAATGTTTTTTGGCTCGTGACTGGAACTGCACATTTTAATTAATAATACTCTTACCTTTACAGTTGAATTGATTTAACGTATAGGCCTATCTGCATTGATTAAATCATAATTAGTGTCTGAATTATTTAAAAAAAAAATTCGCAAATAGCTTCAGAGCCGTAACTAAGTTCCTGTATAATGTCGCCCTCTCTCGATTGAGGATTGAATGCATAATGAAATGCCAATACGTAAAAAATAATTGTCTCGTTCTCATAGATTGGATCGGAAAACTTATAGGCTTAAATATAAAAATTAAGCAACAAATAATGAAGTTTATTATTCAATGTTGTTTTTAGCTTAACAGAAAGTGTTTACCGCCCATCGCAACATATTGCAGTTAGCAAACGTCATTTTTTCTTTCTGATAAACGGGATCTGTTGTAAACGTTAGTTCTGTCGTCAAATGATGCATTCAGCATCATTCTAAATAAAGTTAGGCCTAGCCTACTAGCGGATATTTTGCTATTGGCATTGATTTAGAGCGTCCCAATTTCCATGTGACTGGTCCTTATTCTCACTTACATCTTTG